TCAGCAAGCTGCCCGTGCGCTGATTGCGCTGCGGCGCTGTGCCAGGCTATAATCTACTCAGCCGTGGCAAGTAGATTACCTAAATTGTCGAGCCCTGAACATAAGACACCAAATCAAAAGGTCATTTGACTGCATATCCAGTAATTTGATCTGCGCCATCAAATGCCAGCAGTGCCCCACTGCTATATATATTGGACAAACTGGACCGTTTCTACGGGAAAGAATCAGTGGACACAATCAGATATACATAAAGGAAACGTACAGAAACCTATTGGGGCACACTTCAATCTTCCACATCACTCTTTAAAAGATCTCCAGGTAGCTGTCTTGTCACAAACCAGTTCTGCAAGCCAGATCCACGAGGAAGCATCGGAATTACAGTTCATCCACAAATTAAATTCACATGCCTAATGGACTCAATCGTGATGAAAGTTGGTTGAGACACTACCAACTTAAAAGCCATTGAAGGTGCAAACAGCTCACAAGATCTATTAACTTTGATTCTTATTTGCTTCATTTTAACTACCCAATCTTCAGATATTTACTGATTCCCTCTGCTCTCCGACATCCATCCCCCTTCCTTTTTCTTCCCTCCCTCCTCTCCTTCCCCGCTCCTATTTATTTTGGACATGCACATCCTAAACTCGTAACTACGGTCATCTGAAGAAGCGGGCTGTGCCCACGAAAGCTCATGATACCATCTACATGTTTTGTTAGTCTATAACAGTGGTCTCCAACCTTTTTACACCCAAGATCACTTTTCAAATCTCAGAACAGGCGAAGATCTACCGCCCCGCTCCTTCCTTGAAGCCCCTCCCCTTCTTTGAAGCCCCGCCCTCTCTATTCTCCTCCTGTCCATCACTTGCTATCCCCAGCCCTTACTTACACACTCTGATACAGTTTATTTTTAAATTATGCGATACATACAATTAAAATCACGTGTTTATAGTTATGAAATAAATGGTCTGTTTTTTAGTCATGCTATTTAAATCTAAAATGAAGCATTTATAATTATACATTTTGTGGGGACGGAGTACTGTGGCTGGGGGCAGGGGAGAGGGAACAGGGTGCTGGGAGGGCAGAGGACAGGATTCTGCAGCAGGGGACAGAGTGCCAGTGGGGACAGAGTTCGAGGAGTGGGGACGCGAATGGGGACAGAGTTCGGGGAGTGGGGACGCGAATGGGGACAGCATTCTGTAGTTGAGGACAGGGGAGTGGGATGCCAGGGGAGGCAGAGAGTCCCCTGCATCT